AAACTAACCTTTTTAATTTTTTCATTTTTTATTTTTTTTGCTTGTATTAGGAAGGGTCTGGGAAAGTGATTTAGATTTGACTAAAACTTTTTGTGAGACCTCAACCACTCTCATGAAAACCAACAAAAAGCAATTGAGAAAAAATCATTCGGAAAATGAGCCGACGGAATTAAAGTCGAAACTCATGTTCCGAAAAAATACCGAAATTTTTTGGCACAAAAAACACTACTGAAGGAACTCATAACTATCAGACAATGCTCGTACCTAACCTAACATGCACATACTACCTTTACCTCTACAGTAAAACATCTGTAGTAAATGTAGTAAGTACTTCATTACTACTTCATTATGTAGTAAGTACTTCATTTGAAGTAAATGCAGGGGACCACCACGGCTGTCCCAGTATATCAACAATTTATCTGAAACTATTAAATAGTTTCAGATAAATTGTTGATATACTGGGACAGCCGTGGTGGTCCCCTGCATTTACTTCAAATTATTTACCTCTGCTACCGCTCGTGGACACTAGTGGGTGGACACAGGTTGGTGGATCACATGATTGTAGTTGGAGCAAGCTCACTCAGAAGGACCCTTGACTACCTACCCTACGATCTAAGGGTAAAGTATCGAAGATTCACTTTTGCAAAATCGGGACTAAGCCTCAACCCAAACAACGTGAGTAAACTCAAGAAATTGCAGTGGTTACTTAGAAACGGTTCCCTAAAATCCAGAGAAATCATTCTCTGGCACGACGTGATAAACAATAGTATCACAAAACATCCCAAAAACTTTAATACGAAGTGTTCCCCGGAGCAGTTAACTGAAATCATCACGAATTTTCAGCATCAAATAGCTGCGATCATATACATTCGTCGAGACGGTACCCCTCACATTTTTGAAAAGTTACGGAAGACGAAACCTCTTATCATCGACGCGATAAAACGACTTCTTCCTAAACAAAAACAAAACGACATTGATACAGTTGTTGCCCTCTCTAAACTACACCCCCCCTCCGTCTCTTGAGCTGAAGTTGCTCAACAAAGTACTTTCGAAACGTCACAACCTTCGTTCACTAGTACTTCAGCAAAGATCAAAATCCAGAGTACGGCCCACCAAATCAAAGAGAGCAGCAGCAAAGAAAAAACAAGCAGCCCAATCCTCATCGCACTAGTTCTGGTGAGTCTGATTTTCTTGAGACTATTCTCTCCTGAGGTTTTTATACCTTGGAGTATCAGTCCAAGGGAATCAAAAAAACTCAATAAGTCTTCTCTAGTCTGGTTTTCTCCTGAGGTTTTATACCTTGGAGTGTCAGTTCTGAGAAGATTTTTTTGAGCAATATGGGCTCAGAAGAAAGACGCAGAAATGCTAGCGTCTCGCAAGCATCTGAGAAATCTTGTAAAACATGCAAAAAGCCGATCACAAACAAAAGTCAAATCTTTAATTGCATTGCCTGTGGCGATGTTATGCACATGACAAAAACATGCACTGGAATATCTGAAACTGCCATCCTTGGAATTTCGGAGATCAGCCAGAACGTCCTCCTGCTCTGTAACTGTTGTGTTGGAAACAATAGGAAAGAGTCGATGATCAACGATTTGATGCAAACCCGTCCATCCATTGCTGAAACAAAACTAAATGAAATCGCCGAACAATTCTCTACTTTTAAACAAGAGATAGATTCACTTAAGCAAAAGATAGATGAAACAAGCAAAAAACCACAAAACAGAAATGAGCCAAAGCAACCTGCCTTAAACAAACCAGAATCAAGCTATAACGGAATCCGGATAAGAGGACTGCTTGAACTGGGCTCAAAAAGTTCAAGAGATAGACACGAACACGACTTGGAAGAGGTGAACAAACTGTTTGCGTTCTTAACAGTTGAAGCAAAAATCACAGATTTAAAACGTTTAGGAAAATACGAAGAAGGAAAAAGGCCACGCACAATAGTTGTAAATGTTTCAAATGAATGGCAAAAACGACTGATACTAATGTCCTTGGCAAAATTGAAAAACTACGACAAAACTGTCTTTGTGTCAAAAGAGCTCAGCCCAAGTGAATTTCTGATTGAGAACAAACTTCTTATGAAAAGACGAACAATGATAGAAACTGGAGTATCAGCTAAAAACCTAAGGCTAAGGGACCTTGTCCTTTACCAATATGACGAAGAAAGTGGAAATTGGAAAAAAGTCGAAGAAAGCAATTGACTACCTACTGCCAAGTATTTAAAAATGTTATGCCTAAATGTCAGAAGTATTTTAGACATCAACAGAAGAATAGCTCTTTCAAATGCCATTTTACAAACAGACTACGATATACTATGTCTCACAGAGACATGGCTGGTAAAGGAAATACCAGATAAAGCTCTGCATTTGGCTGGTTTTAATATAATTCGCAAAGATAGAAAAAACTCCACTTTAAAAACCAATCACGGAGGCGTACTCATGGCGATAAAAGAAAATGTGCATTACGAAGAAATTGATGCTCAAATAGAAAATGAAGAATGCATAGTGGCCAAACTAACAGGTGAAACTGGGCATCATCAAATACTCTGCTGTGTTTATAATCCCCCGAAAAACAGTAAATACCAATGGAAACAACAAAACTTCATCAGTTTGTTCGAAAACCTAACAAAATTACAAATACAACACAACTGTAACGCAGTGTCGATTACGGGAGATATAAATTTTGAATACACTCATTGGAAAATGATGCACTCAAAGGACAAATATGAAAATGCAGTGTTAAAAAAGCTCATTGAACTTGACTATGAACAATTATTCGACTCCAAAAAAAAGCAGCTTGATGTTTTATTAACAAACAACCCTGGAGTAATACTCAACTGGCACACGGACCATTCAGCAACAAACGCATACAGCATCGACAAAGTTTCTTGCTCAGATCATTATGCTTACTCTGCAACAATTAACATGGAAGCCAGTATCAAAGAAATAAACAAAGATGAAAGTCTGGCGTTTAACAGAGCCGATTGGAAGATAATAAATCAAGAAATAAAAGACAAACCTTTCATACCGTATTGTTACAGTAATGTAAATGAGCTCCTTCGTCAGTGGTATGCATGGTTATGGGACAAAATAAAGAACAATGTACCCAAGGTTACATCACACAGATCAACTCTCCCCCCATGGGTGAAGCCAAGTACGTCTCACATGCTAAAAAGAGTACAAACCTTAAAACGGCGTATCGATCGGCAAAACAAACCTAATTTAAGCATTATCCTAAAACACAAAAAACTGGAAAAAAATCTTCAAATAGCATTGACTGCAGATCAAGCAATTTACGAAGAAACAGTAACAAGCAGTAGACGATTCAGTGACCTGCAAAAATACTTGAACAAAATAAGTAGTTCCAGGAAATATCCCCAAAAAATGTTCTACAAGGAAAAATCCACAAGAGATGACACCCAAAAAGCTACATTTTTTAACGAATTTTTCATCAGTGTATATCAAAAGGAATCAATTCCTAACCCTCTCGCACGAAATACAAACTGTTCTCCTACAGAAGAAATCTGTACACAAATACACATTGAAGAAACCAAAATCCAATACATTCTCAAAAATCTTTTAACAAATAAAGCGTCAGGTTTTGATGGTATAGGTAATATAATCCTAAAAAATCTTTCTGAAACTCTGTCAAAATCGCTCTATCTTCTCTTCCGCACATTCATTAACAAGCGGCTCTTCCCGACCTACTGGAAAACAAGTCAAGTGGCCCCAATTTTTAAAGAAAAGAACAAGGCGTCAGTCGAGTGCTACCGCCCAATTAGCCTCTTATGCTCCGCCTCGAAGGTCTTCGAAAAAATTATCTTTGATAATATATACCCCAAAGTTCAACCTTTCCTGGAAAACGCACAATACGGCTTCCGGCAAAAAAGGTCAGCAGTACTACAAATGGTACAATTTTTGAGCAAAGTATATGAACTCTACGATGACAAAAATGTTCAAACACTCTCAGTCCTTTATCTAGATTTTTCTAAAGCCTTTGATAAAGTTCCTCATAGTATCCTAGTCGCCAAACTACGGAACATAGGTCTAAGCATTCAAATACAAGACATAATACAAGACTATCTAACAGATAGAATGCAGTTTGTGAAAATCAATAAAAGTTCATCAACTCTGAAAGAAGTAACTAGCGGTGTACCACAGGGCTCAATTCTTGGCCCTCTACTTTTTATCATATTCATTAACGACTTTCCCAAATGCATTGAGAATTCAGATTGTTTTGGCTATTGTGACGATATGAAGATCTTGTCTACTGAAGAAATTCATCTGCAAAAAGACACGGCAAATGTTGAAAAATGGTGCAAAGAAAATAAAATGCCGCTGAATGAAGATAAATGTAATTTGTTAAACCTCAAAGGGAAAATGGAAGTTACACTATTTAATACAAATGTTGATACCGCAAAGACCCAAAAAGACTTAGGTATTTTAATGTGTCACAACCTTTCGTGGTCAGTAAATGCTGAAAATCGCATATCAAAAGCCATGGGAGCTTTTTACAAAATCAAACGAAATATCTCGAAAAAAACATCTTTAAAGTCAAAATTAAACTTATACTGCGGATACATCGTACCAATCATAAGCTATGCATCGCAAACATGGTATCCGAACAAAGCAGAATTAAGACAACTAGAAAGAGTACAAAAACGAGCGACATCTTGGATTACAAATAACTTCAAAATGAGTTATACTGAAAGACTGAAATTTTTAAAGCTCCTTCCACTCTCAATGTACTTTGAATTACACGACATATTGTACTTAGTTTCACTACTAAAAAATAAACATGACATTGATTTGAATACAATTATTCATAAAAACGAATCACGAACGAGACAAGCAACACGTGGTGAGATTGCTGTTCATGCAACAAGACTGAAAAAGTCAAATGAAAATTATTATATACGTTCTATTACGCTATACAACTACTTTAGCCAAATTGTGGACTTCGAAAATCAAGATTATGACAGCCTGAAAATATCCATAACAAACACGTTTTGGAAATTCTTCAACAGAAATTTTGCAGAAAACAACTTGTGTATGTGGAGAATTCTTTGCTGGTGTGGAAACTGCAACCCACCGGGAAAAATTATGAACTTATAAACGAGGGTTCAAAACCCATGGAGAAATCCTAAAGCCTACACTACTACTACTACTACTACTACTATCTAGAAATGTCCACACGATCTTCACTTCTAGAATTGAAGATCCTGTGGACAAAGATGTTTACGGGAAACAAGTCTAGTACCCGGTTGCAATACCCTTGTTTATCGTCAGGGTAATTATATAATTTTGATAAAACTAGATAAAAATTTTTCGGTGATAGTTATGGTCGGAAAAGTTCGTGCTGTAGCCACTGGTTAATCCTGTTTGTTTCCCATTTTAGTTGAAAATGAATTCGGAATTGTTAGATAATGCTAAAAAGCTTGTACATAAATCGTACATTGAGCAGGGATCTCAAAACTTGAGTGCTTTAGGGAAGCAATTAAATGAATTAATTGAAAAGAGAAAAATGCCGTCAAAGCCACTCACGGATCAACAAATTGATGTACTTTTAAATTATCTTTCCTTGATGGACAGTAACAATTTCAGTGGAAATGCAGGAGTTGGCGAACGGGAAGGACGCTGCTTTGCCTCAATGGTTCGTCGCAGAAACTATGGTTTCTGTCATGGAATTGGTCGTTCAGGTGACATAACTGAAATTCAGCCGAAAGCAGCTGGATCTAGCTTGCTGGTTAAGCTATGTCGCAATTTGACCCTGGATTTGTTTAAATTATCTGGTATAAGAGGTTGCACTGACTTGGTTTTGTTGCCTGTGGCAACAGGTATGGCCTTGAGTCTTTGCTTAATGACATTGAGACCTACTAAACCTCGGGCCGAGTATGTCGTGTTTCTCAGAATTGACCAGAAAAGCTGTTTCAAGTCAATCTTGACTGCGGGTTTCAAGCCTTTGGTTGTGACTGGTTTAAAAAATGGAGATGAAATACAGACAAACTTAGATGAACTGAGAAAGATTATAATCGAAAAAGGAGCGGAGTCGATTGTATGCGTGATGTCAACTACAAGTTGTTTTGCTCCTCGTGTTCCGGATAATTTACCCGAGATAGGCAAAATATGCTCACAGTTTGACATAGCTCATGTTGTCAATAATGCTTATGGCTTACAATCATCGAAGTGTTCACATTTGATATCCGAAACTGTGAGACTGAAGTATAGATTGGATGCGTTTGTTCAGAGTATGGATAAAAATTTTATGGTTCCTGTCGGAGGAAGTATTGTTGGGGGTTTTGACCAGAGTTTTGTTGATAATTTGGGTAAAATGTACCCCGGGCGGGCTTCTATTCAGCCCATCTTAGATCTATTTATTTCTTTTCTTTCAATGGGATCTGAAAAATACAAAGAGCTGTTAGTTGAAAGGAAAGAATTGTATAGTAGGCTTCAAATAGAACTAAAACAGGTTGCTGAAAGTTTCGGAGAGAGACTTCTGAATGTGCCACATAATGACATATCAATGGGGATAACATTGCAAAGTGTTGAAATTCCCGATGAAGGTAATGACGTCACCGAAAGCGTGACCAAAATAGGAAGTATGCTGTTCACTCGCTACGTCTCTGGTGCTCGCGTGGTGTCTCGTGATACGACGAAAGAAATAGGTGGAGTGAAATTTAAAGGATTCGGTGCGCATGTTGACGAGTATCCGCATGATTACATGACAGCAGCAGCGTCAATAGGAATGCAATCGGAAGATATTAATTTGTTCATGAAACGACTTAAAGCAGTTCTATCAAAACAGTACAACAAAGATCATAGTGTTAAATTCGTACCAGAAATTACTAATGGTCCTATAAATGATGATGGTGACCATGTTGATAGTGAATGAAATTATTTGACTTGTTTTATAAATTGTATATTGTTTCAATCAGTTACTGTCAAATTTGATTATATGAGCTTTCATCGTGCTTTCCCTGAAATCAATCGAAGAAGTCCAATAAAGCTTTAAACTTGTCAACTCAACTGTTAGTTTCTTTTCAGTTGATTGTGCCAAACGAGACATGTTTCTCTTTAACGGCTGAAGAAACTGCTGCGATTAACTGTCCTGTGGGAGGGATTTAAATTCAAGAAGCTTTGACTTGACGGAATTATGGACTCTAGAAACACTCCAAACACTGGCAAGCCACCGGCAGGAAAGTCCAGACCAAATCTGGCACGCTTCAATTCCTTGTCTTTCATTCACGACTACAAATTAGCGTCTGAAATGTTTGCTGGAAATGAGAAACTTTTCAAACAGGCGTTTTTCAACGCGGCTGCCAATATTTTCGTGCTTCTTGCCATATTAGCTTCAATTGCTGTATTTTTTGTACTGGAAGTCTTTCTTAGACCTTTGCTTTGGGCAACTTTAACCGGATCGTTTCTCTACCCATTCAAAAAAGCAGCTACTGGTGCTGTGCAAAGATGGCTGAAATCTTTGACCCAGTCCGGAACGCCACTGTTTATTGGTTTACTTCTGCTGCCGTTCAATTTTGTAAATTACTTGTCAGATTTAATCGGAATTTTCATTTCGAAGAAATTTTACCTCTTTGTCATCGCTTTTCTCTCTTACCCATTGCTGTATTTAGTTTTTGCCTGGACACCTGTTAGGTTGTTTTGCAAAATGATTGCCTGGTTTATAAACTCTATGTTGCGTTTACATGGAGGCATAGCATCTTTTTGGTGTCGCTTTGTAGCGCCTTACTTTTGGACCATCTACGTGGCTTATTTCATCCTGGCTTTTTTCTACTCCACTCAAGATAACACTGCAGTTTTGAAGCGTATCTCAGTTGTAGTTTGGGCTCTGTTAGTGTATCACCTGTTGATTACGTCATCGAGTGTGGTGGTTCTGGGCTTGTTGATGTTGACTGTAATAGCTGTGGCTGGCTACATACAGAACTCGCTGAAGGACCCACAGCGTAAGAAGGTGAGCGAATTTTTAACCACCCGATTTGAATTGCGGAGTTTAATCAGTTTGCACTGTACTTGCGGGTGACAAATGGCCGAAATGTTGCGCTGGACATTCGTCATCATCATCGATGGAGTTTATTTCACACCTTTTTTGTGTACTGAAATGTGTATTCTAAAAGCTCAAGTTTTCAAAATTTAAATGGGTAGTAAAATGATTTTTTTTTCGAAAACCGAGCGGAGTTAAATAAAGCTTAAGTTTCAGTATAAATCAAGTTTCAGTATCAGCAAAAAAGTGCCATATTTTAGCAGCCATAAGTTGCGATGTTTAATCGATTTGCAAACCAATCTCTTCGGCTTTGAAATCATTGTTCAATTTACGCGACTAATCTCGCTCTGAACATATTGTCTAATTGAACGGGTGGATATATAATTCCTTCCCAATCAGTCATCCTTTTATATTCAGTTGCGCTTTTTGGCTTTCTATTCGTGAAATTTTATTCCTGATTTGGTTTGTACTTTGAAAATAGGATGGAATGTATACTGCATATACAAAATAGTCCGAAAGATCAAAGAAGTCTAAAAGTTTCAATTTAAATTTTTTGGCCTGTTTTTTGGAGCAGACAGAATTGATTTGAGAATTGAAACCTCAGGCATGAGCGAAATCACCGATCAAACAGCCAGCAATTGAACAATAAACAGAAGATAATTAAAGGCCTCATGGTATAGTGGTGAATGTGTTGGACTCAAACTTGAGAGAACGAAGGATAGAATCATCCGAAAAACATTTAGGGTAAAAATTAAAATGAGTGAATCGGGCACAAAAGTGGGCACGACCTAAAACAGTTCGGCAAGGTGAAAGGGAAATCACCACCTGGTAGGTATACATCATTTTGGAGGTTTTAAATTGACTTAGCTCAATCTTGAAAAATCAAAGAAAACATTTGCACTAAGGAAAGTAAATGTTAGAACATCATAACTATATCCTCTCAAAAACCCAGTCTTTCGCTTGGTGCGACTGATAATTTTGATTATGTTCTTGTAGAGTTTTCGATATTTAGTCTTTTTGGGTATGGCTACTTTTTGTCCAGCGCTTATTAAGCATTCTTTTGTTCGTCTTTGAACTTGGAAGAATGATTGGGATGGGATAAAAACGTTTTTTTTTGGGAGACTGTTATTTGAGAAGTAGTTTGAAGGTCCGATTCCTCTGTTGAGAATGTCTGTTTTTTAATTATGCATTTCATCCGTGTTGGTTGTAAATTTCCATTTGGTGTCAGTTCTTTTTTTTTTCTCTTTTTTTATTCATTCATCTTAAAATGCTTCGCGTTTTATTGGCTTAGTGGAACTATTTCGTGTCGTTTGATGAGCGAAAAAATTTCTTGTGCGTGTTTTTTGAGTGGACCGGCTAAGAAAACATTTTTCTGCTTTACGGTTGTCTCCTAAAGTATTGCCTGCTTTATTTCCGCTGGGTACTTCGTCTTCTGATGTTAACAAGACTTCTCGTACCATGGCGAAACACTGACTATTCCGACTGCCTTTAAAGGTCGATGGAGCAGTATAATTGTTATAAAATAAAACGAAAAAAACATTGAAAGTCATCCCCCACACACCATTCGAAGTACAAAGTGATCGTTTTCGCTTCTAGTAACAATTCAAATAAGGCAATTCAGATTGCTTCAACTAATTTGGAGCGATTTCTAAGACGGATTGATTCGCCGCATTGTGCCAAATTATCAATCTTTAAACCCCCATAACTTTACGAAAAATGATCACAGGTAATTTACAAAAATTCTGTCATAAAGGGCTAGCTTAAAAGGTGAAATTTGTCGATCGAGCACAGAAATTCCGTTATTTACGTTACGAAAGTAGAAACAAGCCTATGAGAACGTAAATTTATACTTTGATAGAATCTAAGTATGTATTACATTTCGCACCAGGCGGTTTTTGATTTCTGATTAGCCTAAGTCCAGAAAAGTCCTGGCTGTGCTAAATGTTTGTTGTAATTGCTCAGTGATTTCCAGATCTTTCAGTTGCTCCATGATGTAATCATTTCCCAATCCCCTGTAATCAACGATTTTCTGATATAAATAAGAACGGATTCTTAGATATTTTTGCTTCGTCTCAGAATGGAAATCAGTGCAGAAAAGACCAAATTTTTAAGTATAGCTTTCGACAAAACTGTATGTATCCATTAGAAACCAAAACCGTAAAACAGCTTTTTTCATAAGTGTCTTGAACCTTGTTGGGCAGCAGAGCATGCACCAAGGGTATAACTGCGTTTTCGATCACACCATGAATAGTATAAACTTGGAAGAAACATCTGGTGCCACTGAAAATGTTTTTGGTTTTTTATAGCCTTGTGTAAAATAATTTTTTAAACTATTTCGCTGTTACAATTGTGCGCGACATCTTTTCTGCATCATTGGCACCATTTTTTTGAGTAGCTCTTGTAGTTTCTTTTTTGTAAAGGTTTTTGAATAATGATTTTTATCTTTTCGTTGCTGTAAAGATGTCTTTGTTTTCAAATTATTTCTGTTTTCTTCTTTTTGGTTTTCAAAAAAATTTTGTGGCAAAGATTTGTATTATGCTTCAAATTAGATGTTTTGTCGTCAGAAAACTTCAAAATAAAGTTTTTCAATTGTTGAAATCCAGTGAAAGTAGTCTGTAATTTATTAATTTAGAAAGGCTTACCTAATTTAGAAAGGCTTACTTCCGATTTGACAAGCTAAAAGCTATTAGTTTGTAATTTGCACTACTCATATTTTCTGTTCCACCACTTAAAAAGGTAACCAAGTGAGTGGGAAAGATCTATGACGTAGGGTGTGTTTATCCGCTCATTTAAGACTACGTTAAAAAACTTCGAAAGAATCGAGTGCAGTGTCGCAATTTTTTTTTAGTTTGAGCGGATTATCGTAGTAAAGCCAACTTTATAAGAGTGCAGATTTCTGGCTTTTTTTGATGAATAATTGCTAGAAAGTAAAAGTGGGGACTTTTTAAAGCTGTTATTAACTATTTCCGGTTGTTTTCAATGACGCACCACCCGAAAAATAACAATTGATTTCCGCAAAGATAAATAAGGTCTGTCTTTACAGCAATAGGCTCTTACTTCAAAGTCGTATAATTTTTTATCTTGTGATTCGCAGAGGATGCGAAGCTGCGGTTCGCCTCTATTTGAACAAGGCTGAAATATTTTATGCTACTGATTAAAACTTTCCTCGTCACACTCTAATGCAAAACGGATCTTTTTTGAAATGAGTTTAAACTATCTAGATAAAACTGGAATATTGAAAAGGTGTTAGTAGAATCAAAATGCTACATATCCTGGAATCTGGTAGATTGTATCGGTATCTCTTGGTCTGGATTTTTGTTTAGTTTTGTTATTAAGTTGTAGCCGATGTCAAATAGAACAAGTTCTCGCAACAATTTGTCCTCTTGGACTTTTTTGAACAACAATTCTCGTTCAGTTGCTTTTGAGTGCAGAAATTCCACATGCTCTTTTAAAAAGATTGAGCAATTAGGACTGTCTGGATTCATGAACTTCGCGTCTAGCACTAAATTGTAAGTGGTTAAACAATCATTGGGTGATTCACTTTGAAAATAATATCTTGCTGCATTCAACATTTCCTCGGAAATTTGTTTTCTATAGTTAATTGCATCTTCACTTTTATCGTTCAAAATTCGGGCAATTTCTTCATTGAGTTTTTCTTCCTTCATGTTTTTCGTCTTCAAAGTAAGCGAAAGCATGTTATGTAACTTAAATAGGCTGTCTTGCTTCAAAGTGTTAAACATTGCATCGCTAGCGTTTTCATCGTACGTTAAGTCAAACTCTACTTTACTTGCTTTTTTCATTCTGTAATAACTTTTGGACCATTTTGGATTCCACCTACTTGCTTCTAACGCAAAACTGATACTTTTAATCAGTTCAAGACCTGCTTTCAAAGATAGCTTTTCAGTTGCGGCCAAATCGTATTTGATTTTTGAAAAATTTGTGCACAATTTAGCCAATTCTTGACGATAGCTAATTAACGTATCCAAAGTGCCATCAAATCTTTCGTATAGAGCTGTGAGTTTACTGTGACTTATTCGAAAGAATAAAATGAATTCTATATCAGCTTGCTCAAGTCTGTGACTTTTGGCCAGCTCTTTCCAGTCTTGCCAGGAATACGGTACATTATTTTTTTGATCAGAATGAAACTCTGCTATTTTCTGTTCTTCTGAATGAATGGGTTTTGTAGTTTTTCGGAGGCCACAGCGGTTCTGTTTTTGAGCGAGCAACAAATCGAACAGTAATTTATAATTTTCTTTGTCGGGGGGTATGCATATAAATTTTATTTCAAACAGTGTGTGGTGATACACTGTGTTACGGGTAAAGAAATCCATCAGAAAATAATCTGTGTAGTTTTTGACAATAGCTATGGCTATGATAAAGCTATTTTCGGTTGACTCAAAATGGTACAGAAAATGCTTACATAAGACCATCACGTTAGGAAACGCAAAAATATTTAGACCACTTCTGTGAACGTATTGTTTGACAGTTTTGGGGAATGTTTTGTTTTGTATCGGCTCAACCAATGAGAAGTTTGGTAAATAAGGATAATCTCCAACAACAATCACGCTCTGCGCTTGTTCAAGAATACTGCCAATCTTCTGCAGTCCTTCAAAGTAATCTGGTATATCCTGCTCTCTTATATAATAGTGGCGTTGAGGGCTAAAATTAGTTGATATCAGGCAAAAAATATAGGTCTTATCGCAAAGGGGAGAGGGAGGGAGTTCGTGGGAAAATAAAATTTTTCTAACATTGTTTGCAAATTCGCAACCAACATTTTTGATACAGCTAAATTGTGCTCATTGTTTCAATTATCAGCTGACCGTTCATTTTTGCGATTTTTTTCTTGCTTTGGGAGAAATAGATTATTGTTCCGACTTCGGAAAGAAAGTAACGGAATATTTGTGCTCGGGGTGAGTTTTTTTTCTTCAGACAAATTTCGACTTTTTAACTAGCTATTTTTGACGGTTTTTTATATCATTCAAAAAGTATTGTTATCCTGAGCTTAAATTTGAAAAGATATTTCACCTGTGATTTTTTTTATGGGGGTTTTAAGATAGCCGTTTTGACCAATTTGGGACAATTAACGCGCGATATATTTCGCGCTATTAACGCGTAAACGGAGATTTAATCCGTTTTAGAAATCATTGCAAATGGGTTGAAGGACTCTAGGACTCTTATTTGCCATAATTGAATTGTTACTAGGAGCGAACTTTATCACTTGTACTTTATATGGCGTGTGGGGGGATGAATTTTGCAAAAAAAATATCAAATTAAAAAAAAATCATTTTAATACATTTAGTTTTTCCATGTTATTGCTGCTCCATAAACCTCAAAAGGCAGTCGGAACATTCAGGGCCTCGCCCTGATACGAGCAGTCTTGTTATCCTTTCAATTCTGGAGAGCTTAACTTGAATGTATTGAAATAATGCATACTCACTTATTTTTTACATGATCGATTATATCTGATCTTGCAAGTTCTCTCGATAGATGTGCACATTCTGGCTGTTCAACTATAACAACTAGTCGCATAGTAGCTCGTGTAATGATATTAAGGATGTCTTCTTCTATTGGGCGACGGCATGATGCTTCTAATGGCAAAATGACTGTTCCAAACTCCGCTCCTATAACTCCTTCATTTAATAAGCAGATTTGATTTGAGCTTTGCATTAGCTTTTCGTCGATGCAGTTCAAGTCGATTTGGCTGTAATATTTTATGTCATGTTGAGTAAGCAGGCGGTGGAGAGCGATATCAGAAGCTGGTGATAGATATCTTGAACTGACGAGTGTTGAATAAGCGTCCAAGGACTCCTGAGAGTACTTAGCAATGATTGCCAGGCAAATCTCAAGTAGCTCACCTGGCGAGGAAACTACTATATCTGGCTGTTCTCCCTCGAGATTGTGAGCGCATTTTCCTTTGATGTCCACAGTGTACTGAAACGCAGATCTCATGCTCGTACAGAACTGAGATAGTTGAATTGTGGATCGTAGGTTGTAACTTAGAGTCCGAAGATTAAAACTCCGTTGGTAGTCAAGTGGTATCCTCATTGAAGTAAATAAACACACATGATTTTTTTTCATTTCACAGAGGATTTTCTTGTTGGGGAAAAGATTATCTGTTTCGTCAAGAAAAATTATTCCTTCTAAGTAAACTATTTTCTCTGCAAAATCCTTTAAAACATCCTTAAGTATCACAACCTTTGAACCGTCCAAAACTTTTCGTAAATGCGCATATAGCACGGCGGATGGCTCGAAAGTCCCACAACAGATAAACACTTGCTTGCAAGATTTCTGCTTTTTAGCATCGAGAATAGCTTGTGCTAGTTTGGCCAAGTATATTAAAAGCATTGTTTTCCCAGAACCTTTAGGACCTTTCACATGCATACGCAGTAGTCTACCGTCATTGCATGTTAAAGTTTCATAGACTTCTGCAATTATTTCCAGCTGTTCCTTGGTCCAAAGAATAACTTTCATTTTTCCTCTTTTCGACTGATTTCTATTAGATTGTACAATTTCTTTCTGCATAATATTTTTCAGTTCTCTCAATGAATCCTCACTAATGTTTCCGGATGTATTGGCAAATTGTTGATCAAGTCTAGTCTTCAGATCTTTCTGTTTAGCTTGAATTGACTGCAAGCTATTGGATATCATTTTATCGTGTATGAGTGCAGTTGCACTGTCCATCGAACTCAATGCTACTAAACGGGCGATAGTGGTTTCAAAGTGATCGTGCATTGCGATGTCACGAATTTGTGACATTTTTTCAGACCAGTTTTTCTGAAAGTTTGTAAAATCTGGCTGTTGAAACATTAAAACATGTTCAGTGTCATTGGAAGTATACCATTCCTTGTTTGTTTCCAGATCTTGCATATTTTCTGAGCTCCACGAAAGTTGGCAGAAAACAGCGTGTACGGGAATAAAATCAAGGCTGGAACTAGACGAACAAGGTGATGTTTTGTAGTTCGAGAGCTGCACGATAAAATCAGTGTGCTTAAGCATTTCTTTCTTTAGTTTTTCTTTGAATTCGTCTTCAAAATTTTTCACTGCTGCACCGTCCATGCCAGGTCTTTGATCACCCATTTTTCGGTTTTTAACACTCACGACAAAGATACCTTTCGATGGGTGTAAAACTATAATGTCGATTTCTACTACTCCTGATTTCGATTTAAACAGCCCATTGGTATCTAAGTTTGGTAGAATCATAATGCCAGGTTGGTCTGGTCCAAATCCATCGCGCATTTTTCTGTATACTTTCAACTCGCCTTCCTCGCCTTTTTGAATTCGTTCGTATTGTTTGTTCAGTCGTTCGCTCATCATCTCTGGTCCCAGAAACATTGAAGGAACCCTCACCGCGGGGATTGAAGTCACCTTTCCCTTGAGTTTCCAATCTGGATATTGTTTTCTGACTACCTGTTTGAGTTTTTGGTCATCACTGAATTGAATATCCGATCCACCAGGCCAACGAATTGTTAAGTTATCTAGCTCGCTATGGAACTTTTCCATTTGAGACTAAAACAAACCATAACTCTAAATGGTTTTCATTTGAAGTTTTATCAAAAACTGAATTTTCAACGGGCCTCATACGCAGGCAAACACAGGGAATGGTTTTAATTTGAAGTTTTCTCGAAAATTGAGTTTCTATCAAGCATGAATAATTCAAAAAATTCTTATAGTAAGGCTGTTTGCGTTAACTTTGCGTTTTAATGTGTGATTTTGAAGAGATTTCATGATGAATTTTAAAAAAAGTTAATTTTTGATAAGTCAGCTGTTATGCCACACAAAAATTGCAGCTTTCGGACAGAGAAATCATTTAGCGATCAAAGGAAATATCTGAACACAACCAGCCACAGATGTGTTGCTTGAAAAACTTTTCTCTATTCTCGGATACGCTGAGGTTGGTTGACGAATCACATGATTAAGTTTAGACGATGCTCTGTTCGCAGTAGACTCGAAGATGCTTTTTATTTTAGAACTCTAGCTTTTTTGAAAATAGAGAACAGTACCAAACTCATGTCGACAAAATGTCGCAGTCGTTTTCACACAGGCGAAGGATAGTGTCCTTATACGAAATCCACTTCCGTCGAAAAGTGAAGTGCTCATTTGAGGCATTAGCATAATGTCCGTTTTACTGTTGCTGCTTTATCATATTCATGTTTGATAAAAATTCCCATGAAAGTGTATGGCATTTTTTCAGGCGCTTTGGAAAGTTTTAAAATTTACGCGAAATTTTTTTTTCTCGAAAACGAATCGGACGATCTATGTGTCTGCCTATTCCGCTAGTGTTTTTTTACATTAATTCATGTTTTACGGCCTTCAAAAGTTAATTTCAGTGGATGGATTTTTGACTAATTTTTGGGATTTTTTCTCTTTCTCAAAAACTATATAACTAACAATCAGGGACATCGGAAGTATCTTGTAAGTAGCTTTTTCTTCTATCTTGATTTTAAAAATACTGGACGAAAAATAAATTTTCAAATGTGTACTCACCATGTGATGCTGTTGTAACCAGTTTGAGAATGAACAAGAAAACTATGGTTGGTACAATAGTTTTTTGATGAATGTTAAAAAAGCACGTTTATAAAACTTGTCACACGATGGTGAAACGTTGAAAAATGTAAATAACGTTGATAAATAACTTTGCATTCTTGTGACCATACCAACTGGTAAACGTTGGTTCGCATATTTTTTATGATATATGCAACGAGACGCTTTTAAAAATGGTCGATCGAACCATTGATTCGTCACAGTAAAACCAGTTGCTATTCGAAGAACTGTTGCTATTCTTTAATGTGTTGTTGAATCATTTTATTAGTATCCAGGATTTGGTTTTAGTTTTTTGCTTTTTGACTATCTGGAGTAACTACTGAACGTTTTAGACGACCCGAGAAAAGACTGTTATAAATCAGAATTTATTCTAGCAACAAAATACAAAACTATCAATAACACCAGGACAATAGCAACGTTATAAGCACTTTGATGGTCATAGCAGCTGTTAAAAATGATATGAGCTTCAATTCAATTGATGTATTTTTTGCTTGATATAGATATTCCGATCATTTTGTCCGTTTACGGCTAGTTTTCCTAGACTCTATTCTAAACTCAATTTTTTAGGCTGTTCTAAAAATCTTTTCTGATCGGTCTTTTCGTTTCAGTCCATGGTCAAGTTTGAGCGGCAGTCAGTTCCAGTACCACTGGTTTCTTTGAACGAGTCATCGCAGGAAGTGCCAGACTACAAGCCAGAAGATGAGGGGGATGGAGGAGGGGGAGGGGGAGGGGCTACTAATGCAGCAGGTGCAGATTGTGGCCATGAGCAGAGGGTGACGGAGAGTGTGGAGAGTGTAAATGAAGTGTCAGATCAACAGAGTGTCAACAGCAATGAGTCACTACAAGTAAACAATATAACTAACTAAGCCAGATGGCTTGAAGTTTTTTAGGACGTGAGCTTTTGAATTAAGCTTGATTTTAAAAATGATTTTCGTTGATAACTTGTAAAACTGTCGTTTCAAATTCTAAATGGAAAAGAAGTAGAAGTTGCTGTGCAATTAGGTTGTGCAAAAAATTTTGAGCACAAGATTATATCTAAAAATCATTCTCCCTTTACTTCAAATCCTTCCCTTCCCTTACTTCCTTGCTTATATTTCCTTCCTAGTCTTTCAAGAATGGTCCGGTTTCTTTCAAATTTTATGCAATTATGAGGTTAAATTAACTTGTTCTCTTTTGAATGACTCCAACTAATTTTCGTAACTCTAGGACATCTCGAACACAATGACGGACTATGTGCAGAAGAGTGTGACTTGGCTGAGGATGTACTCCCAACAGGTGTTCGAACACACAGATCCCGCCTCCACTCACGCTTCCACTGATGGGGCAACCAGCAAAGATCTAAATACTAGTGAGTCTACCACCATTTTTCATTTCATTTTCAGCAGATTTTTGGGCTGTTTTTTTTTCTTTGTCCGACATTTTTTGTCGCCACAATACCGTATTACAGAGGGATTCAATCTCTAATCTTAAATATCGGCATTCATTTAATGGTATTTGAGAGCCTCGGTTTATTTTTATTATTTCATGCTTTAAAATTAGGGTGGTCTCTGTACATAATATATTCAGTTTTGTTATGCAATGATATCTTATTGAAAATAAAAATCCTATAACATAGAATCAGTTACCAAACCTCTTTACTTTGAGAAGCCTGGACAATTTTGGAATCGAATCTAATGCTCGCCGAATGTGTTGGTGAATGTTTTTCGTGTTGCCATATTGTACCATAACTTGTAATTCATTTAATGCACGTTCGCTTATTACTTATAATGTTTTTTCTAGAACGTTGCACTTAATGCTGCACGAAATCTTTTAAACGCATTGCAAATTAACACAGTACAAAATATTTGCAGCCGCCCAATCTGGCAGTGGTAGGAAACAAGGTAAAGACCGAATGATGGATGCCTTTGGTAGGGCGACAATTCGTAACAGGCGACAATTCGTAACAGGCGACAATTCGTAACAGGCGACAATTCGTAACGAGCGACAATTCTTAACCAGGCATTGGCAAGTAGAATACGCTTGCTCCGCTGCGCTTACATCCGGCACGAGAGGTATATTGCGCGTTAATCAGTTTTCCCCGCTTCTACTATTACGAATTGTCGATTGTTACGAATTGTCGCTTGTTACGAATTGTCGTTTGTTACGAATTGTCGCCTGTTACGAATTGTTGCCTCATGGATGCCTTTCTCTATTTTTTCAAAATTGCAAAATCCGAGTAGTGGATATTCTATTGAATATGGAATGAACGCATGATTACACTGGTGTGGATAACGTTTCGTGAGACTTGAACAAATAGCTTGCTTCAAATCAATTCTAAAATTTCTAAAGCTTGATATCGACCTGATAATTCTTTCGACTGATAGCAAGGGTATTGCAATCGGGTACTAGACTTTTTCCCGTAAATAACTTTATGTTTACAGATCTAATTTTAAGATCTCCTTTCCCATTCTCGCCAAATTGCACGTCAGCACAAATTTGCCAAGTTGCATTGTTAACAGCTAGTCTAGCGATACTGGGTCTACAGTTGAAACAATTTTCAAAATCAAATTGATTTTTTTGCCGACTTTATTGATTTCGTCCCATTTTTTGTCGGATTCCTAAAGTACTCTTTTTTCATTTTCAAAAGAGTAATTATAGCTCTTAGTTTTCCTGGTTTTTATACGCAAAACTTTCAGTTCGGGATAAAAAATTGCATTGAATTTTCATTTTTTCCAATGCATGGCATGGCTTCTATTATTTTTTAAAATGGTTCAAATAAAGTTTGTTTTATTTTTTTTTGTTATTGTTTGAGTTGAACAATGTTATTTGAATTCGATTCAATTTGATGATTCATTCTGGCTGAAATGTTTGTAACAAAATGAGTTTGTGTGTTTTTTACACTTGCGAAACGAGTGTATTATTACGAACCTTCTTTTTTAACAACCTAAGTCGCAATTATTGGTGTCAATTTTGGGGCACCTTTACAGCGTTTTCATAGCATGTGCTTTGACATTCGAATACTAATAAGTTAACATAGTTGATGCATTTTTAATTCATCAAATGAACCAAAAAAAATTGATTTGTTTCATACAACAACAATCATGAAAACTCGATTTCGGAAAATTTCTAACTCTTTATATCTCGCAATTTTTCGAAATGCATAATTTTTATATAATGTTATACTTTGCGATTTGTTACACACTAAGTTAGTGTGGATGCCTTCAGTTTGTTATATTCAAAATTTGTACTTGCAAAATTTAGTCTATTTGTTTTTGATGCCAATTTGCTGAAGGAATTGGTAATTTATTAGCATATGTAGGTGCATTTTTAGTGATTATCAGTGTTTGTCGGTTGTTGAGCTTGTGTGGCTGAGTGTATAGTGCGTGAAACTCAAAATCTCTTGATTGCAGTAGGTCGCAGATTCGAATCCTATATGTAGCCGAGGTTTTGCTTATCCGATAGAGCTGCTTTTTGGCCGTGTTCTGGCAAGTTTTGTTGAAGCACAGCTTCGCCTCTGTGTTTACTTTCTTTATGGGCGTTTTTTTCTATTTTTTTGGTTTGATCCAGCTATCTTAAATGTTGCGTACTATTTTCATATTTGATGTAATTGGGTTTTTTTGGGCTTTCAGAGTTTGTCTGTCAAATTTTCTTAAATTCTTTTTTGTGGCAATTCAAGTTCTGTGTGGCAATTCTTTGAAACGTTTGCATTCATTTGTTTTGCAATTTTTGTCAATTTTTTCTTTCAGTTTGATCTTAGTTTATAGCAAATAACAGAAAGGTGTTTTCTTATCCCCAATTCTTACTGTAGCTTATGCAAGTTGGTTGGTTGCAAAATTTTAAGCTACGTTTTTGAGTGTATTTAGGAACTTTTGGATCTCGATTTTTTAATCAAAACTTTTTCTTTGGTTATGAGAAAGAAAGGAATGGAGTTTGTGTAACCCGAATCCTTTTTATGTACTATTTAGTTGAATTTTTTAGCCTACAACAATTCATTCAAGTTTTTCACTTCTGTTTGAGACTTATCGTTTGATTTTTGGCATTTTGTATTGCAAGTGGTGCGAAGCTCAGCTTCGCCTGTGTTTATAATGTTTTTAAATCCGGCCTGCAGTTGGCGTAACGATTTAATTATTTATCCGGAACAAAAAAATATTTGCGTGAAAGCCGCTAAACGTTATTTTTTGATCATTTTTTGTAGTGAGCTACCTACGTATTAAACACCTGGTGAGAAATATTTGGTGTTGGGAAATCGATTTTTTAAAAGTTACATAGCGTATATGAAATATTGTCTTGTTCAGATGGGCATGGTGACATGAATGACCTGATAGTGTCCTTCGGGTTCTACTCTCTCTTCTGGTCTATCCTCATGATCCAGACCCTGAAGCACCTCTGGATCCTGCCTGTGTTGTTCATTCCCATCACTCTCTTCGTCATCAAGAGGTCCTTCTTCCTGTTCAAGCTGGACCACCTTCTCAAGCCATACTTCAGCACCGCAAAGGTCAATTGGTTCTTTTCAGTCGAGTTATCATGCGGTGCAGTTATTCAATGCATTAGTGAAATAAGTAGGTTTTTGCGACATTGAGAACAGTTGAAGCGAATTTATTATTCATAAAAAAGTCGATGTAGGAGTCTGTGAACATTAGATCGAAGTATTGTGCATGAGAGAAAAGAGCCTTAGCAAATGCGGCCGAAGCAATCAATCAAGAACTGGGGAAGGTAGGATGAGAAGACAGTTGGGAAGTTTCCGCTTGTTACCAGATGTGAGAAGTTCTTGGTTTATCAGCGATTTTGTCTGCTGAGCCTGTGTGGTTGTTGAATGAATTAGTTATCTTTATACAGCCGTCATATTGGATAATGAAGAATAAGTAATTTTTCTTTTAAAATTAATCGCAAATGAGTAAATGTGGTTTGTTTTCAAATTCAGGACAAAGTGATGGAGAACCAGCACATCTTGATGCCATCCTTCCTCAAACAGATGATCCACTTCTACCTGTTAGGCGACAAAAAGGTCATCAAAGTTCTCAAGGGGTCAATCGGGGTTGTGGTCACAGTACTCCTAGTCAGTCTACTGCTGGTCGGATCCATAGTGCTGTCCTTTCTACTGGCTGCCCAGATCCAAGAGGAGGGAATGGCTATAGTGGAGATTGGAACCACTCTGGCACACGAGGCATCCTCCATGTATCCGGAGTTCAGAACGTGAGTTGATAGTGATAACTTGCGTAATAGTGGTCTATGGACATTGGAAGCTATGCTTCATAGGAAGAGGCATATTTATATTCATGGTGTGAGCTAAATTTAAGTTTTTATTTAATTACTTCCTTTTTTTAAATTACTTTTCGAACCCCCTAGGGCATTCGAAAACTGAAGTACCTCGTTGTTGATGAACATAATTAACAACAAATAGGGTTGCTCGTTCAATTTTTCCAAGTTTTTTGCAACCGCAAATCTTCAAATGTCAGTAAAACTAAACTACATGATACTGGCAAAGAACTATTTGAATAAACGATTGTTTCGTTCTCTGAAGAGTCCTACCTAACAGCACAGACATTCAGTCGAGTCTAACGATGGTGGTGGAGAGAGCCTATGGATACAGCAGGGGTCTGATAGAGAACTGGATCACCTCGTATTTGGTGCCTGGAGGGGAGAGTGACGAGAAGAGTGAGGAGATCACGAATCAACTGCTCAAGATCTACGATGAGTTGTATCTGCAGTTGTGGGTCAACAGGAACCAGACTTCGAACCAGGTCAGAGAATCTTCAGGTTTGGGGTCCATTGAAGTTGGAAACTTATTGCTGATACTCATTTTTAGTTCGAACTTACTTGATACTATAATAACTTTAAAATTATAAGTCATAAATCAGTATCTATCTAGTTTAATTTCATGCCGAATGCCAGTCGGCATGAAATTAAACTAAATAGCTAATGATTTATGAGTTATAATTTTAAAGTTATGATAGTATCAGGTATTTTCGAACTGCAATTGAACAGTGTTCGTTACTAGGAATTGATCGGTGACTCGTGGCTAGAGTCACATGTTTTATAATGATCGTCAGGAACGACTCGTTCTTTTTTGATAAACAGAAAGAAGACCCAACTAACTCTATCGTGCAACTAAAACTCTCTACTTATATATTTCTGACCTATATAAAATGCATCAATTATAAACCGTTTTAGCTGCATGCACCACTACTATTTACCAAGTTTTCCATATAAGCTGTAGACACAAGATTGAATTTGATTTTTTGAAGACAGTTTGTATACATCAAAGCAGAAACAGCTCAAAATTAACCAAAAAGTGGAAATAATCATCAGAATAACCTGAATTTATCATAATGGTAATTATTCTGCCATTATTTCATTGTGATTGTCTTTGATGCCGTTGATGGGAGGTTGCTATTGAGACCGAATTGGTTCGGAAATGTAATTTAAACCCATTTAATCATTTTTTCCCCGATCACGATTTGTGATCAAAAGTTTTTGTTCAAACCACAAAGTGTGAAGGACTTTAGCATTCGGACAGCTTCTGTCCATGTGTCAATAAAGTAAAGAAACATATACAGGTCATGTTTTTAAGCGGGTTGACTTTTGATTTCATTTTACGTTCAACCCAAGTTCATTTGCTTAAACGATTGTATATTCCGCTCTAAAACAACCAAAATTCAAATGATGCGAAGAACGTGTTGATTTGTAATTTCTAACCTGTTTGTTGATGTTGATCCAGTTTTTTCGAATTGAGAATTTTCTTTAAAAAATTGTGTAAATCCTAAATGATAGAAATTGAAAGACTAACGGTGATTCGAGTCTTTTTTTTTCGAAACTCAGTATTTGAAAAGTGTTCAAAAATTTTGGTAACTTTTTTTTCAGTCTCTTTGAGTTCATTGACACTTTTTCAGCTGTTCGTTGGTCAGTTTTTTTTCTGTAAATTGTCTTGAAATTTAGACGCGCTTTTTCTGGAAGTATTAATTTTCTCACGCTTAAAATTGATTTTTCACATTTTGGCATCTGATTTTTGCTGGATTCAGCTGAAATTTATATGCCCAAACGAGGCTATAATGAAAGGGCAAATGTTGCGGCCCAAACCTTGTGACTGACTTTGAGTCTCGAAAGTGGGTTTGAGAGTTTAAGATTTTCCATTAGAAAAATAATTACCTAAAATACTTAAAATTAATAAAAATACTTGCCAGTTTTATTTTGCCTGTGGATCTGCTTTAAAATAGGATTATAGTTGTTAGAATTTCAGTGGAATCGAAAATTTTATATCTTGTGGTCCATTTTTCTTCAATTACATAATGTAAAAAGTTTGAATAATAAAGGAATCTTTAATTCGAAGAGCTTTAAGGTCATATATAGTTTTCCCTTGAAAATGTTCGGAAAACCAGTCGTTTTTTCATGCTCTTTTTAGGTTCATGGCTTTTTTGGCAGTTTAACTTAGGAAATTTTTGGCGGTAAATCAGTTTCTACCATGTTCAGTTGGGGTCAAGTGATAGATTATATTAAAGCCTGTTCAATTGTGATTCGATCGAAGTTGTAAAATTAAGAAAAACCAGTTTCGAGGAAATTGGGTTTGAAATACCAATGCTCTTTGGTCCAATTTGAAGTGAAGAGTCAATTTCTGATACAGTTGAAGTAATTAAAGGGCGATAAGTTTTTTTCAATTTATGTTGATGAAGTCATTTGTAAGTCAAACTTTTTAATATTTTTCAGGAAAACGGAATTATGCCAATTAATTTGCAGTCTCTAAATGCAAGCCAGGTGCTTACGCTAGCTCAAATTAAAGTATTTATAAGTTTTAGGAAATAATGAGTTAACAAATTTTATTTTCGATAAATAATCACAGAATGTCTAATCAATATTACCATATTTTTATTTGCCAAAAATTTTACCCTTTGGTTAACCTGTATCAGACTTCAATTATGGGCTGCGAATCCATGCTGAAAATATGAAGCTCTAAATCCTTGTAGTTTTCGAGATAATCGCATTTTTTGAAAAAAATGAAATTTCCAAAATTACTTAAAAAAAAAATTAAAATTTTTATTGCGATCAGGGGCGGATTTAGGGGGGGGGGGGGGGGGAGGGTTTGTAATCCCCCCCTCAGGGAGTCGACACCCTGCCGACCCAAAGGACCCCCTTTGGTACTTTTAAGAAATCCAGTTTTGGCCGACCAACCCTAAAATTTTTCTAAAGGCGCCAATATATACTAAATTTAAGGGGGGAACGCGCGCCGAAAAAACGCGATTTTTTGGTCAAAATTTTCCAAAAAGTGCTTAAAAACGCCTTTTTGGACTGTTTTTTAACATTTTTGCCTGCGGCGCAGAAAATTTTGCCAAAAAAGGGACCAAACTATGCTTAGGGAGAGCTCGAAAAATCAATTCGGTCGACCTAAAAAAAAGTGTCGACCAAAATGTCAGATAAATTCAATGATGACTATTAAAAATGTGTTTCTTCATTTTCTGTATTTTTGCATTTAATTGTCTGAAGAAATAAATTCTTCTTCTTCTTCTTATTGGAAGCTACTTTTTCGTGTTGGTTATTTACTTTTTTATCGAATTAACTGTGATAGTCAAAGTTTTTTCGACATGAGCAGCAACCGGCCTAATTTGATTTTTTGAGTTTTCGATGCGATAAACGTAGCCTGTGCATTGTGCGGTACTTGAACAGCGACGAGATGCCCTTGCTGAGTCCAGAGTTGAGTTTCTTACCCAGCTGATGGTTTAACCGGTTGTCAATTTATTGCTTAGTGTGCTTAGAGTCAAAGGAGTGTGCGTAGTTTCTTTTTAAAGCTCAGTTTTCGTTGGATTAATCTGCTGGAAAAATCGTTGTTACCCTTCAAATTCGTTTCACCCCTCGCGATTTTGTTCGTTCCGTCCATATCTCAAGAGTCGGAGTAACATCAGCTACTTTCCAACTCCTGAGGGGTGGACGGATTGAACAAATGTTTTTCAATGAGCTTGCGATTGTTTTAGACAATTACTCTGATAGTAGTTTTGGTAGGTTTTCAAATGTCGCCAACATAGCACAAAATTCATTTTGGAAAATAATTTGGCAGCTTTTTGCACCTTCACGGATCAATTTGGTCACCTGTTGTGTTTTAAATTCGCTGGTCAAATTTGAAATTCTTTTTATTATGGCATAATTTTTTGCGCAATAATTGTTTGCTTGTTAACGAGGTACAACTGAATTATATTTTATAAAAACAGTTGGAAACGAACAGTTATATTAATGGCGTTACTGATGCGCATCAATGAATTTCAGAGCATAGCAGAGGTGTTCAGCTCAGTCAAATCTCTCTACGAAGAAACAGCAGAGGGTGGAATGGACTCATCCTTAGTAAACGGAGAAGGATTCCTGAAGGCGTTCAAGTCCCACGGATCCGATCTGTTCTACTCGGTCTATGACGTCATCCACGGCAACTTCGACACTCTTCGCTCAATCTCTCTTTCGGTCTGGAGCATACTCCACAGCAATATCAATATAGGTCATATGTTGGAATAGGTGACAGGTTTTTGAAAATTGCAGATCGTTTTTTGGTTCTGTTCAGATCTCTTTAAGTATCCACTGTGCTCGCTAGTAAAGATAACAACCTCTGTAAAGAACCATTAAAATGGTTAAGCATATGCGGATTCTGTAACTGCGGCGAATACCTTCTTTGCAATACTGGGTGTAATCGTGAAAGAGATCCTCTTTTCACACGTGCGAGATATTACTGTTTCAATGGCCGTTCATGTTTGTTTCACATTGTCTAGTTTCTTTTCACGTACTGTGATACGTTTGTTTTTCGGAGTTTGATTTTTGATATAATTTTTGGGAGAAACTATAAACGATCCTCTCGTTTTTGCAAATATAAATTGATTTATTAACAAATCTACCACCTATCCTAACATATGAACCTGACTGAATACAGTGTTCTCCGTGCTGACTTCTCTGATCTGGGTAATTCTGTCCAGTGGCTCCCACATAATGAACTTCCTCATCTCCTTCGTAGTCTTCCTCACAGCCCTCTTCTACCTGTTGAGTCTGAGTGGCAGCAGATATAAACCGATGGAGTTTGTCGCCTCAATCATGCCAGCTGACCCGGCCGCTGTGGGAATGGGCAATGGGAACAACACCTCAGGAGGGTCCAAGAGTATGAGTTCAAGTGTAGCGGTAAGATGTTAATGTCTTTCTTAGTTGATATGCGTTACGGGAAATTTCTGCAAACTTCGAAAGAAGTTATTGGTATTTGAAGAATGAAAATTGCATGTTTCTTCGAAGATGTATGTAAGAGGTTACGTCCGTCTGACTTGGTGCTCGCTTTTTACACGAGCGTAGCTAGTGTGATAGTGCGATGAAACTTTTTTTCCAGCCTAAGTTGCAAATAATAGTGCTACTTTTGGTGCCACTTTTGAATCTGTAGGCAGCATTGGCAGTATTATCTCATGTGCTTTGACATTTGTATCAGGGGCGGATTTAGGGGGGGGACGCCCCCTTTAGGGATTCGACCCCCTGTCGACCCAAAGGTTCCCCCTTTGGTACTTTTAAGAAATCCAGTTTTGGCCGACCAACCTTAAATATATACTAATTTTGAGGGGGAGCGCGCGCCGAAAAAACGCAATTTTTCGGTCAAAATTTTCCAAGTTCCTAAAAACGCCTTTTTTGGCCTATTTTTTCAAAAATTTGCCTGCGGCGTACAGATTTTGGCTAAAATAGGAATAAAACAGTGCTTTGGGAGAGCTCGAAAAATCAATTTGGTCGACCTAAAAAAAGTCGACAAAATTTTCGAATTTTTTTTTGAAAATCTGACCCCCCCCCCTCGAGAAAATCCTAGATCCGCCCCTAATTTGTATAGTAAAAAATTAACACAGCTGCTGCTTGTTTTTCTGGTTGTATTGAAAACCCAAATTTTATTTTCTGATGAACTAGGTGAACTGTTTTGTTAACTAGGTGCGAAAAGTAGTAAAGTTGTCAATGAATTGTTTTGAAAACAGTAAAAAACGATTTTTATCAAAAGCATAAGCTTGCTGTTACTGATTAGTTTCTTGTGATCTGCTTTTCCTTTTTCATTTTAATGTCATTTGGAATTTGAATTATGTCATTTGGGAAGTTACCTTAACGACTTTGGTGGTTACTTGGTATATTCAATCCGTAATATAGACTTTTTTCGGGTTAACAACTAGTTTAACAAAATCAGTTGAATCAGCTAGCACGGCTGTTCTGATTTCAACAGAACAGAATGCCTGTCAACAGATTATGTTTAAGCATGTCTGCCTTAGTTGCCTCATAATTCGTTGTTTAAGGCACCAAAATTGTTAAATTTCTTCTGTGCTTACGAAAGGGTGGGGGGCGTAAAACTTTGGACTTAGGAATCTTTTTGGCTCAAAATGTTTTATAGCTTCAATTTCGATTTTTTTTTCGGCTCAACAGTCGACTACGCAAGTTTTGTCTGCTCTGTATCCGCTCAATGACTTTTTAATGCTTTTTTATCACTGGAAGTTGTGTTTCTCAGTATTTTCCCTTAAATTTACCCGCATTCCAGACAAACAAATAAATCAATTTTTAAAATGATTTTTTAAACATTTTTTTCGACTCAGCTTGCGTCCTATTTTTTTGGGCTAGCTGCCGTGCCATTTTTGTTTTATCGCAAGTGGTGAGAAGATCCGCTCGGTCTCTGTGTTCAAGTTTTGTTTATCGACTTCCAAGCATATTACGATAGTAGCAATTCGACAAAACTAAGCAAATAATATAGTAACTCAAAGTTATCTGAACAATAATACACAACCTGCAGTAGTCATTACTTCTTACAAATAAACTGTGTATGATCGAAGTTTGTCTAATTTCAGAGCAGCAATACATTTGCAGAGGCAGTGAACAGTGCAGTGATGGGTGTGTTCGGGGCATCCCTTAAACTATCCTCCTTCTATGGACTTCTCACTTATGTCACCCACTCAGTGGCAGGAGTCAGACTGGTGTTTCTCCCGGCTGCAGTCGCAGCTCTGCTAGGTGAGGTCATTGATTTATGATCACACTGTAAAACAGAAACTAAAAAATTATACAAGCGAAGTGTTCTGTGATGTGATATTCTTGTAACCATTATAAATTGATTTCATCATTGGAAAAACCCTAAAATAAGTTGAAGTAAAGATGTAGATCAGAATGCTTCTTATGCATAGTTTTGAAGATATGCTAATGAATCTAAAGAAATACTTTTACTGTGGATCTGTTGACACTTTTTCTCAGTTCTTCTTATCAATTTGAAAAGTATCTTTCGTATCCAGGCGCTGTTCCGGTATTTGGAACGTATCTGGCAGCTATTCCGGCTGTGCTAGAATTGTGGCTGCTGCATGATGAGTGGATTGGAGCTCTCGTTCTGATGATTTTCCATATGCTCCCGACTTATGGAGGATTTGATGCTGCTATTTATGCCCAAATATCAGGTGAACTACCAACCTAGGTGAACTTGAGGTTGATATTTTTACTGATAAGTTCAACATTAAATTGACTACACTAGCGATCAGCGTAGTGTATATTTGCGAACCTGCCTTTTTTCCAAACTAACATAAGCATTGGAAATTGCATAGCATCTGTTCTCTGCTTTATTCTTAGCTAGTGTTTGGTACCTGTTAAGCGTCTGTGGCTAAGAGGCTAGTATGTGTGACTCTTAACCTCTATGTCGCCGGTTCGCATCCCAGACGTTGTCGAATTTTTACTTATTTCATGCTTATTTCTAATTTTTCTTATTGCAGTTGCTTTTTGTCGTTCTAGTGTTTGCGAAGCTAAGCTTCGCCTCTGTGTTAAATGTTAAACCTGAAATGAGTTTTCGGATATCCAAATTGAAAACATTTTAGCTGCACCTTTTCGAATTAAGTTTTGTCATTTTAGTCGAAGAAAAGAGTTAAGCGTTATCTCGGTGATTCTCGGTGAGAAAAAGTTTTAGCGGTTATTGTCATTTCAGGAGCTGGCCATCCTTATCTAACTGGTCTGGCAGTAGTGGGTGGAATCTCAGTCAGGGGTCTGGAGGGTGCCATCTTGGGACCCATCCTCTTATGCGTCCTCATAGTAGTCTCAAACGTCTACTCCTCAGTCATAGCCGGAAACACATCGGAAAACAACGCAAACAATGCCTCTTCCTCGGTTGAATCGCCTTACGCTGAATCTATGTCTGTGTCAAATGAGCGAAGAGCAACTAAACATGCGGGCAAGTCGCTCAGGAGTCACTCGTTTATGGGCATGGATGCCAATGTGAACGATCTCTCAAGTCAGGATATGGAATAAAAAATGGAAATCAAAATTTTGTTCTTGTCAATCATGATGAACAGATATCATCGCACATAAAAAACTTATCAATCGTTCAGTTGTGACTTTATGCTTTCTCCGTAAATTTAGGGTAAAACTTATGCATATGTGTTAAATCAAACTAAATGAGCTAAAAAAAAACGTTCTGGTTTCTTTTTGGGCGTTTTAAAACTGTTGATATTAAGGACATCTAGTTAACACATTAAATGTTCTTAACCAATATTTCCTCGATTTTGGTTTTGATATCCTAGAAGTCAGCTGTAAGCAATAGCTATGTGTGTCAATGGGTTTAAAATCAATTCCGGTTATCAGGCGCTCTAGTAATGATACCTAGATTACCGGTAATTTTTCATGCAGTTTATTCAAAAATGATTAATTTTTATTTTAAATTCTATTTGCGACAACCCTTCTTTGCCTGGGTGAATTTAACACATATAGTGTTTCTATATTCTGGCGCTTAGCAAGCTAATGTTTCTGCTGTGCTAGTTTCTCTGTTGTTTCGTGGATTGTATCCTCAATTTAATGTTATTAACGGTCGGTTAAATGCAGATCCAGGAGATCGATATATTTTGATTGAATCAGAACTAACGTAATTCTTTATGCTGTCTCAAGTCTAGATCTACTAATTTATCTGAATTTAGATTACAACATACCTATACTTTTTTTGTCAAAGTCATTGTTGCAAATGCGCGCTATGCTTAGGCAATAGAAAAAAGACGGTTTAGATGATCTGATTACAGGAGCGATCGGTTACTCGGTAAGCTTTAAATTAATTGGATAATGCAGTTATTTAATTAATTGATGGAATTAGTTACCGTGCGTGCAGTTGGGAAGTGTTTTTTTTCCCGAAAAATGAATTAGAACCACAATTGTCATGGTGATTATGTATCTACTGGCTGATGATTGATTCTCACTGGAAATTGGTGAGAGTTTAAAGACAAAAGACCGCAGAATGGAAATTGAAAGTTCGATGTGTCCGTTAGCCTTACGTGTTCATGAACGAGATGATTTTTAAGTGAGATCATGAACGAGATGATTTTTAAGTGAGATCATGAACGAGATGATTTTTAAGTGAGATCATGAACGAGATGATTTTTAATACTCTTATATAGGTCTTCGTGATTTTTTTGTTTTTTAGGATAAAGTCTTAACATTTGTTCGCGCTGAATTTTGATTTTTTGCGGTTTGACTTGTGATTTCTTTTTAAGTTCAGTGCATTTTTTTTCCATTGTCAAAACAAAGGCAAACGCGACTTTTGGATTCGAAAGTGGATTTATATTTTTAAAAAAATTTACCCATTATTCGGATTTAAAAATTTACCGATTATTCCAGTTTTTACTGTAGGGATCAGCTTCATGTAATATTACGAACCTTCTTTTTTTCTTACTCAACTTATTAAAAGTGTTCACTTATTTGGAAATTTCACTGTAGCATTGGAAGTTAAATATCATAAGTTTTCTGCTTTATTTGTGGCTAGTGTTTGGTTCCTTGTAAGAGTCCGTGGCTGAGTGGTTAGTGTGTGAGATTCTTATTATCTAGGTTGCAGGTTCGAATCTCAGCCGTAGCTGATTTTTTTTTTTACTAATTCGAGGCTTTCTCAACTTTCTTATTGCACTTGATAGAGCTGCTTCTGTCGTGTTCACGCTACTGTTTACAAAGCGAAGCATCGCCTCGGTGTCTTAAATTGGGTTATTTCGAAGAAAAAAGCGACAATGTTGAGCATATCTTGAAATTCGAAGAGTTAACCTGATATATTTTTTTCGAAATTTGAAAAATGTTCAAAACGTTTTCAATAATTTTTTAAGTATTTTTTTGTTCTCTTGAACTTTCCAATCTTCTGTTGGCTAAATTGTTAAAGTTTTTGTGAGCGAATACGCTCTTTTTGGCCGTATTGTTTGAAAGAACAAGCCAACGCGTTGCGCTTTTTAGTCATTTACTGTTTTTTTTCTCGATATTTTGAGCGGAATAAACTGTTATCCTGTTTTTTTTCTCAAAATCATACGACGATTTTAAAGGTTGCGCTCAAACTGATTGAGTCGAGATAACGATGTTTTTAGGGTACCATAAAAAAGTATGGAATGCAATCAGTTCTTCTGAACTTCAGTTTTTAAGCTCAAAGAACCATTAACATACATGCAAGCTGAAACCCTTCTGTAGCTCAATGATTAATTGATAATCTTAGGTTTTAAGAAGACACGCTCGCTAATTTTTTTGGCTCAAATCTTCATACATTTGCATGTTTCCAAATACAACAAGAATGGCAAACGAACGAGATTCGGAAAAACGTCAATACTAGATATTTAAAAAGATCGATTTCATTTCTTTTTCTTATTTCATAGAGAATAAATTGTCACAAGGGTCTTTCAACGTTATCAATCTTCTATCATTGACACGTCAATCTTTGCTTAACCATTTTGTTCGTTCGCCATATTTGTCGTATTTGGAAGAATGGAAGTTTATGAAACTTTTAGCATGTGTGTCTTCATAAGTATTAAGCTACTGAAAAGTGTGCTTGGATTTTTTGAATTCTTTCACCTTGATAACTGAAGTTTAGAAGAACCGCCGCCGCTCAATTCTTCCTTGAAAAACATTGTTAGATCAGCACAATCAGTTTTAACACAAGATATTTTGAAGTTGTATAATTTTGAAAGAAAAAGGATCGCAAATAAGTCAAAAATGTCCGATTTATGTACGCTAAAACAAAGTAAATAACTTTTTTCGATTAGCTCTTAGGTACGGGAAAGAATTTTGTCGTGAGCTTACCAGCATAATTAATTATCTCAAAGAAACTACAAAAGGAGTCATGATTGCTATATAATAGTACCCCTCAAGTCGTGATTGGGATACTAAATATTTCATCGATTGCCGAGAACGGTTGTTGTTAGATTTTTTCTGCTTAGACTTACCATCCATGAACGTGGCTCATTTTTTACAGATTCGTGTGCTCAAGAAATAAAACTAAAATTGCAACTAACTTTTGCATCCGTTCCTTTCTTTGATATGCCTAGTCGGAAGAATTTTTATTATTGCACTGCAGCCGGTTAGTGTTATGACTGCATGTGTTTCAGATAGTTTGTTTTTGGATCAATTCATACCATACCGACTTGCAAAGATGCGTGTCTTCGTCACTTTTGAGGGCAAGAAATCTCGTTGCCTTGAGCACGTCTGTCACTGCATTCATGTCGATGTTCAAGACATGAAAACGGTTTACGACTTTTTGGTCCACTTGAAGAGAAAGTTTAAATTAAAGGACCATTACTACCTCTGTCTGACATTGAAAGAATACTTCATTGCTGATTGTGAAAACATTCGAGTTTTGCAGGATAACGACTTTGTTCAGGTTCGGGTTTCGAAGCTAAATGAAAGAATAAGTCCCTACCCGGAATTGAAAGATAAACGTCATGCTTGTAACGATACGGTTATCAGTTCGCAGGAAAACATGTCTCAAGAAACTGTGATGGAAACTGAAAATTTTGACCAAAATAGTGAAACTTTGAAAGCAGTTTCAACTGAATGTGCAGTTACTAACTCGCAAGAGGAAAATAATATCAGCCTTAATCAGAATAACACTATTGATAGTGTTAGTCAAAGTAGCCAGATTACCATTAATGTTCCAGTTGGATCATCGACTCCGTCAACAGCCAGACCGGCTAACTTTTTTCTTCCCAGGAAGTTCCAGCTGAAACCGGTTGCGCCCAGGGCTAAAATAAACATGGGAAGTATGGCATTGTCGTCGAATGATCTGAACAGCCGAAAAGATAGAATAGAGGATGGTAGTCTTAAACCTTACGATAGAGGGAATGAGCGAAACCAGAAACAAGTTAATTATAATTATTCGAGTGAGTTTAAAAATCGAAGAGCAGATAGTTTTACGAAGTGGTATCAGGAAAAATTGAACGACGAAGATCCGGATTTTTCTCCAACTAGGAAAGCGAATGTTTCCGAGAGAAGCGAGCGAAGGGTGGCGACGAGAAGCCAAAAGAATTCAGAAGAAGTTTCTAAAATTGCCGAGGTGAATGAGTCATCGTATTCAACCAGGTCTAAAACGACCGACAATTCTAAGCCAAAAATGATAAATTTTGTTAAAGAAGTCGAAACAAGTCGTTGTTCTGAAAATGAAATACAACCCCAAAAAGATGATGCAAAAACTGTAAACAATGGAGAAAATGTGAGTAATTACGATTTGAGAGATAGAACCACATCTAAATTGTACCCAAAATACAAGGAAATAAAGAAAGGTCACATTAAGTTTGACGACGACGAGGATATACCTGAAATTTCTTTAGGTTGTAGTGAAACTGAACAATCAATGGAAACTTCTTTACCTAAAGTGGACTACACACCAATTGAGAAGCCAGTTTATGTAGAACCACCTCTACTTGTGAACCCGAATGCAACTTACGAGATCCACAATGTCAAGACCAAAACAGTCGGAGAAAGTCAGACATCAAAAGCGAGGTTCACTCGAACGAAGATTATAGACAGTGTGATTGATGCGTATAATAAGAAAATGGACGCGGCGCTTGGTGGAAATGATGAAGACAAAGACGAAGATGATGATGGTGATAACGATGATACTGCTGAAAATGAGACGAATGAAACAGTGTTAGCTTTGCGAAATCAGAAAGTACGATCTTCGATTGAACCTAAACCAAGTACTGTGTCCGAAAATGCACTTAAATCGAATTCTGTCTCAAAAGTTTTGGAAAATAAACTTGCCAAAGCTAAAACCAGCCAGAAAACAGACAGGCGAGCAAGCATTGAAAGCTCATCAGAAGACGAACGTGTTCAGAAACCGACCAAAAGTCCTCTTCTAAAGCCGGCTCCAGGATTGAACATTGTTTCTGTAGTTTCTCAACTGAACAAAGAGCTCTTTGCCAGTTCTCCGGTGCAAAAGACAGTAGTCCCGCAGTCTAATCCAGGTCAACGGGATGTGAACGATAATTTGAGCTCAAAATTAAGCCAGATTGATAAAGCGTCAATTAGTCAGACATCTGCGGAGAGTTTGAATGAAAATGACGTAAATTTCGTTGAAAATACCTCCCATGTTTCAAGTGTCACAACTGAAAGTGTTGAAGAAATGCTGCAAAGGTCGAAAGAGTTCGTTGCTAAACGACAATCAAACCTTCAATTGAGCACAACTGATGATAGTGATGGCGCTGTACACCAGCAGAAACCGCAAAAACAGTTCAGTTTAGAACCAAGCGAAGAGGGATCAAAGAAGCGGAAGGCTTCGGAGGACTCGGATATTGAGGTAGTGCAGCCGAAGATTCAAGATCCAGTTACTGAAACGAGTTCAACCTTGTCTGATATCAAGAGGGTGAAATTGGATATTTCCGATGACGAAAATGCAGCAGAGTCGGAATATTCTGATTCTGGAGATACTTCAAGTGATGAAGATGAAAAAGAAACAACCGGACAAACTGTAAAAGAGGTTAACTTTTCAATTGGCAGCTCGTCAAAAAGCAGTACTGCAACAAAAGTCTCAATACAATCACTTAACGCAGCAATCAAAAGGTCATCGCCTCCTGTGATTGCAAGTATTAAAACTCCTTCAAATGAAGCCAATAGTGTTAAAGGCAGCAACGCTTCGATTTCATTGCCAAATGGAACTCATAAAATTGTGACTACAAATGGGCATTCGACTACCTCTGTTACTAACCGAGGTTCAGGTTTTTGGGCGAAGTCTGGTAAAAAGCCGAATGAAGATAGTTCCTCGGATGAAAGCACGAGCGAGGACGAAGCGGAGATCAAAGCGAACATCAGACGAACGAATGTGCCGACTGTGAACAAATCGTTAGGAGGTCACAATAGTTCGTTTGGAGCTGTATGGTCTCCGAAAACTATGATGAACGGGAGTAGAACCAACAGCATGATTGAGACGGGAAGCCCAGCTATGCCCACATCCTTTCCGAAGGTAAATGATGTTTACTGTTCTATTCTGTTGGTCTTCAATATAGAAAGTAAACTAGCATATGCATGGTTGCTAAACGAGTTCACTTTTTTTCAACCTAATTTGCACCAATTATTGTCCAAATTTTGAGCCCAAAAAGTGTTTTGTATCTACTATTAGATGTGTGTGAACTTTTCATAATCCATTGGGACGCATTTGAATTCCGTATTCGGTTAACTTATTTTCTAAAAGCTTTTTTAGTTTTTCGCAACTCGTGTACCATTTTTTGACGCAACAGATTAAATCATAAAGTTAATATTTATTTGAAATACATATTTTTTTTCAGGCCAGGCCGAATAAATCGTGGAGTGCACGTGAACCTCAAACAAACAGATCAGAGATCCATTTAAGAGAAGAACTCATCTGCAACGGACAAGTGGGTCCCAAGGAACCAGAGCCCGAAATTGAAGTTGTTGACATTACTGAAACAAGTTCGATTAACATGACTGCGAAACCAGGTAGTCTCGAGATGGTACAAAAACTGGTTCCGGTTGTGGGATCCAAAATAAGTTTTCGAGTGGTCGACTTGAACGAAAACTTCAGGCCGGAGTTGATAGACATTTGTGGAAATGTTTTAGAAGTTGACACTGAAAATGATGTTATTAAAGTTTCAGTTGTGAAGTCAAAAGACGTTGATCTTGATTGCGATAAACTGTCAAAAAGAGCTTCAATTTTACAGGAAAGTATAAACGGGGCAAATGAAAATGAAACGGAAGATGAAAATGAAAATGAAGAAGCTGAGAACGAGAAAGAAGAAATAAAAGAGTACATTATCAGTCAGTTATCACAAATCAAGGTTTTAGAAGCAGAAACCGAATCCTAATTCTTTTGAGGATTCGCAAATAGACTGTTAACTAGAAAGATTCATAGAACTGAGTTTATAGTTAGCCCTTATTCTTTGCCCATATTTCCATCCACTCAAAGTGGAAAATATTAACTGAAAGAGTGAAAATCAGCTTGGTTATTGTTTTTCTCTTAGTTTCAATATGCTTTGACCGACGAATTTCTTTTTGGGCCGTGGGTTCTAATCCCGCTTTGACCACGGTTGGAGGAGTCCCAGCGTCATTCGCCTCCTCAAGGTGAGGGTGGCTACGGCAAAATGGATGACATCTCTCTCTCCCCGCGGAAAAAATGCCCAGGTTGAATGGTTGGAGCTGGGCTGGGGGCTAATACAAAAAACGAGTTTCTTTTCAGATGTTTTTGGTAATTTAAAATTTCATTTTTTCGAAAGGAATTTGTGCGAACGGAATTTAATTTTGACAATCGGAAAAACAACGCATCTGAATCGATTTATTTGCAATTTTTGTTGCATATGATCATATGAATACATTAGCTTGTTTTTTTTTCTATGGGCTAACTATAACTAATGCTAGAAGACCTGATTTTCTATCGAAGTTAATTTATTTTGTTCGAAATCAGTTTTTTTTTGAAATCTAGTTTTCTTGGAATTTGCTCAGGTTCAGAATAGAACATGCAAAAGTGCTATTTAAAACCAGATAGTGTTAGTTCTGCTCGCTGAACTGCAAAAACGAGACAATATGTTTTGAATGAATGAAATTTCTGCTATTTGAAAGCATTTCGTAACTAATTTGTGAACCAAATGATTTTTGCAAGTAATTTTACCCGAGTGATATAAATTTATAGTGAGAATTGAAGTACTCGTTTCACGATTATTTCAGATTTAATCCAATTTGTTTTTTCCTTTTTCTTCCCTGTGTTTTCAGGTGGATTGTTGATTTGTTTTCTCTTATCTCCCTACTCCTGCCTTAACCTCAACCTTTCTGCCCACTCACTTTGTTTGGTCCGGATACATACCGACTAATGTGATTGCCTTCACCTGAGAACCCAAATCGTGATTGCTGACGGAAAACATTCCCCCACTTAATTTCCTTCCTAATTTAAGATAGTCAATTTTTATTTTCCTGGATCCAGTTTAAAGCTCATTTATACCCAAACAAAAAAAATCTGCCATTGATTTGATTTCTTTGCACTAATTTTGCAAAATTATTTGTAATCTTAGCGAAAATGATCCTCGTTTGCAAAAGCTCTTCCATCATTAGAGCGTTACATAACAAACGCAATGTTCGTTATTATTCGTATTTAACATCGCGTTTTGAATCTCGTCGAAATGTGTCGACAAAAAGTGCTTTACCCGACTGGTATTTTGACACAACAGTTAACCCCTCGGAGCCTCTTTTCAACAAAGTTCTGATCGCGAACAGAGGAGAGATTGCGTGTCGGGTGATTGCAACATGCAAGCGACTGGGAATTCCGACAGTGGCTGTGTTTTCGGACTCCGATGCACAGAGCCTACATGTTCGCTTAGCCGACGAGAAAATCCACATAGGTCAGTGAAAATCAATTAACAAATTTGAAATAGTTTTTGATACTTTTTACGTTTGCGAATAGAAGTGCCGCAAAGCGTTATCAAATCGGAATATAGACTTTTTTTGGGCTTACAACTTGTTTAACAGAATCACTTGTATCTTGGTTCATAATAAAGGCGAACTTCTGTGCGTGTCCCGCACTTAGCATGGAGGTGAAGAATACGTCTGGGAAGGCAAAGGTCGTGGCTTCGAATCTGACCAGGAACTTTTTGAAAACGGGAATTATTCCTGTCCAAAAAATGTCGGCCTATAGTTCGTCTGCTTATGTTTTGTCGGCTTAGTTGCCACATCGTAGAATTGATTTTTTTTGTACGAAATTTTCAATGAATTGTGTTTTGAATTACTCCTGCAATTTTTAATTTTTTTTAGCCCTGACTTGGTATATATTGCTGTTTTTTTTTCGCTCAAAAAACTATTATCAGCCTAAATGATTTTTGCTTATATTTTATTGGTTTAGTGTCCTAATTTGGTGTCATTTTGAGGCAAGCATAAGTTTTATGCTTCATTCTGAATCCCACAAAATGCTAAATTTTTTAGAATACAATTATAGTTCAAAGTTTTTCATGACAACAATTATGTTTTCGTGAAATTATTTAAGATTCTTCGGCTCAGTTTCCGCTTATTTGTTATTTTTTGAATTTTCTTTAATTGCCGTCGATTGTGTTTCCAGACAACATTTTGAACGTTTCCTGTCTGCTAGCTTGCACTGCTATTTTTATGTTGTATCGCAAGTGGTGCGAAGCTCCGCTTGGCCTCTGTGTAAAAAAAAAGAATCATTTTTAAATTGAACAGGACACTTAGTATCTTAATCAAATTAAATTCAAATAAATTAAGTAGTCGAGAAGTCCGTGGAAAATTGGACCTGTAAAAAGTCTGTTGTTGGATCAAATCGAGCTGCCCCTAAAGCAGCATTAGTATTATGCTTTTTATGATAAAATCGGAAACCAACAAATAAAAAGACCTTTTATTTCCTGTTGTTTTCAAAGAGGTAACATAATTTAACAGCATGGACCCATTTCTTTTTCGTTGCAGGAGCCTCTGCTTCGAAGGATTCCTACTTGAGGATGGATCGGATTCTGGAGAGTTGCAAGAGAACAGGTGCAGAGGCGGTTCATCCTGGCTTCGGATTCCTGTCCGAGAACACTCTCTTTGCATCTCTGTTGAAGGAGAATGACATCGCATTCATTGGACCACCCAGTGCTGCTATTAAAGTAAGTGAATTGGAAGTTCGTGGGTTTGGTTCGAATACGTTTTCGGTTCCGGTCGAAGGGCTCTTAATGTCACCCGGATCCTCAAAGCAGGGAGTTGATTCGGCGAAAAGGTTGACACTCCACGCTTCCGGGAAGTACCTGCAGTTGGCAGGTCGGGGGAAAATAAAAATATATAAATTAATGTGAGTGGATCAGAAAATGGTGATACAGTTTTGGTGTTTTGTGGGGATGTTTTTTAATGAGTGTACTCAATACTGTATTGATGCTCGAATCTTTTCAACTAAAATTTTACTCCTAAAGAGAACACTTTAACTCTAGGCTTTCCTAACTATATTGGAAAAAATTACAATAAACCTGGAATTTTATTAAACCTGGAATTTTACTGTCACGAGGCTTTTTCCATCTGGAAAGCTGTCTAATTTTTTTATTTTCATCATAATTTAGATCCTAGCTGCGGTTCTCTGTGTATAAAAAAATGACCAGAAAGTAGGAATTACTCGCATGCTTTGTTATCTGTTTTTCGTTTCCAGGCCATGGGTGACAAGATAGAGAGCAAGCGAATAGCGGAGAGTGCGAGAGTGAATCTGATTCCTGGATTTGACGGGGCAGTCGCAGATGCACAGGAAGCGGTGAGAGTGGCAAAGGATATAGGGTACCCGGTGATGTTGAAGGCCTCAGCTGGAGGAGGAGGAAAGGGTATGCGGGTGGCCTATAATGACGAGGAGTGCATCAAGGGGTTCCAGGTGAGTTGGGTTCAATGTCTAGGAGAGTGAAGGTGAAGTATGAAAGACCGCTTTTCAATCGAAAGTCGAGTGCTCTAGGCCCTCCGTGAATCGTGCTCGTTGCTTGAGGGTGGGGCAATAATACTCAGCCCAGTAAACAATAAAAATTGCATGCCAATTTTCTTATGACGATACATGATGTAAAGTCAGAAATTGAAATTGTAAAATCAAAGTTCGTTGGGCAACCTAAATGTCTAAATGGATTCGTCATTGCACAAACGAGGCAAAATTTAATTATTGAAACTTAATATATAAGGTCAATGTTTTAGTTGAGCTCGCAGGAGGCCAAATCCAGTTTTGGAGACGACCGAATCCTGGTCGAGAAGTTTATTGAAAGTCCTCGACATGTCGAGATCCAAGTACTGGGAGACCAACATGGAAACTACCTCTACCTACACGAGAGAGAATGTTCAATTCAGAGACGAAATCAAAAAGTAATCGAAGAAGCTCCTAGTCCATTTATAGATCAAAATACACGTGATGCAATGGGACAACAAGCAGTGTCTTTAGCAAGAGAAGTTGGATATTTTTCAGCAGGAACAGTTGAGTTTCTAGTCGATAAAAACAAAAAGTTCTACTTTCTAGAAATGAACACAAGGTTGCAAGTTGAACATCCTATAACGGAATGTATTACTGGAATCGATATTGTACAGGAAATGTTGAGGGTCGCCAAAGGCTACAAGTTGACAAAAAGTCAGTCCGAAGTCGCGTTGAAAGGCCATGCAGTTGAGTGTCGTGTATACGCCGAGGATCCGACTAAGAACTTCGGGTTACCATCTATCGGACGATTATACAAATACCGAGAGCCGAAAACCGACAAAGTTCGTTGTGATTCGGGAATTGATGAAGGTTCCGAAATATCGATGTATTACGATCCTATGATTTGTAAACTAGTTACATATGGCAATGATAGAAACGAAGCCCTAAACAACATGACTGACGCGTTAGATTCTTACGTCATTCAAGGGGTGACTCATAATATATCACTCTTGAGAACTTGCATTGACGAGGAGAGGTTCCGATCCGGAGACATAACTACTAACTACCTCTACGAAACATTCCCAGATGGGTTTCAAGGTCACTCGTTGAGCGCTACGGATCGCAATTACCTTTCGGCTATTGCTGCGTTGGTTAATCTTAATCAGGAGTACATGTTTATGAATAAAGATTTAACTAAGCATCTGAAACAAACGTCCCTGTCGGTTTGTTGTAACGATGTCTATACAAATCTTGATATTTCGAAATCTGAAGACGGTTTTGAAATTTCAACAGACGATGAACAATTCACGTTATCAAATTTTGATGCAAATGAATTGATAAATTGCAGTGTGAACAAAACTAAAATTCCGATTATTCAACTTTTGTCACGTGAATCGGGAGGCAAAGTTAGATTGCAGTACCTTGGAACTGAGTTTGTCTTGACAGTCATGACTCCAAGAAGTGCAGAATTGTTGCAGATCCTTCCAGTTAGACCAAAGCCAGATTTGTCCAAGCTAGTGAAAGCGCCTATGGCTGGAACCCTAGTTGAAATTGCACTGAAAGTCGGAGACACTGTTACTGCGGGCCAGGAAGCATGTGTTTTGGAAGCTATGAAGATGCAAAACTCGTTAACTATATCATCCGACGGAGTTGTTAAGAAAGTAAACTTCGAAGCAGGTTCCACTGTTAATAAAGATGATCTTATTGTCGAGATTGAATAGATTGGTCTTTTAATTGTATTTTGCAGTATCATATCCAAGGGCATATTCTTTTTTGTAGTTAATTTAAATTTTAAAAAGATTTTTTCAGACCATTTGAAAAATGGGGAGGAACTTTGTATTCGGGTGTTTTACTTTTTTCTTTTTGGTTTCCACGCTAAACCAACTACCACAAATAATCATCGGAGATTAACGACAGCTGGTGTTAGTGTTTTTGAGTATTTTAGCGCCTTTTTGGAATCAAAAGTTTCAAAATTCGAAAGTTTAAAACAGTTTTCAATTTGGTTATTTTACTATGACTGTTAAATATTTCCTAATCTCTAGTTTTCCTTTTTTTGTCGTATTTTTGAGACTAAGGTTGGAGCATTCTGTGCTACTTGCACATCAACGGGCTTTCCTGGTTTTTAAGTGTAAAAGAACGAAGTTATTGTCACTTGTCGCGAATTCATATTTTGCACTCTGTCGTTAATTTCTTTTAAATGACTTCAAATTCATTTTGTAAACGATAAGTAAATTGCTCGTCATTAACCAAAACTGGACTCTTTTATCTCGCCTCGTCGGACAATTTCTACATCTAAAACGTGCACTCACAATGCCTGATTACAAAACAATTGGCATATCGACTAATTAGGCTAGATGAAAATATTTTGTCTTAATGACAAATTTTGTAAAACCCCTCGATGCACCAAAAATATCATGATTTCAACATCGGAGGGAGTTGATGAAAAGGCAAAGACTGCTGCCGGCACAGAGATTGGCTTTTGAATTGTTTTCAAAATTAGAACCTTATTTTCAGATTTCGAAAATAGAAAAGAAAACAAAACATTCAGTTTTCTCCAATTGGGTTACTCTTACCTATTTAGCGAACACGAACTCTTTTACTCAGTGCTTCTGTAGTAATACATTTACACTAACGATGTATTGTTTTGAATGGTAGTGCTCAAGAGAAGCTGGAAAAAGAAATAAAACTGGTAAAACGGATTGCGCTAAACATTAACAAATGAGATTGAGAGAATTGTGAAGCATTCTAGCAAAAATTCTAGCATTTTTTCTGCTAGAGATATAATCAAGTACAGATCAACACAATAGCTTCATAAAAGAAGTCGGAACAACGTTAAAGTTTCTAAAAAAATCAGAATTCCGATTTAATGATAGCACTGGCTCGCTTCCCATGTCTGGATTGTGTAAAACCGAGTTTCTCCGTAGTTCGTTTAGACTTACATCAATGAAAAAGTTTTACTTCTCCTGCCTGGATTGTGTAGAACCAATTTTCCCCGTAGTTCATTTTTAAAAATAACATCAATAAAAAAATTAACTTTTTACTTAAAACCTGGTAATTCTCTGATTGAAATCTTCATACCCACAAACAAATTATCCAAAAATTGCACAGTAGAGGATACTTTGATGCACAATAGAGAAAAGACTAATTATTTTATTATATTTCGATTCACAACTGCTCCAAATACTTGAAAAAGAAGTGGAATCTTAAAATTTTCAGTGACTCATGGAACGCGTTTTTTCTGGGGAGGCCGCAAGAAATTCATTTAAAACCTCGGAAGTCGTAGTCAATCTAGAATGTTTTGAAAATGTGACGAAGTTGTAAAAATTGTAAGGTTTTTCTATCTGGAGTTTTCTAACAAATTTGTGTTGTGCTTTTTACTCAGAACTTTGAGTTATTACAAATATTTTCCAGCGCAGCAATTTGCAGTTTTTTGAGTTTTCTTATCTAGCTTTTATATAAAATTCTGTTAGTTTTATTAAGTAGCTGTAAAAAGTTTTCAAGTGTAAATAAGACTATTTGCTTGACAACCTACACTGAGATAATTGAAAACTCACATGTTTGCGCGAATCCCAAGAGACACTACTTTAACTCAAGCAAGCCAGGAAAATTTGTGCTTTTCCGAATAGTGTTTTAGTAACGCAACGTGCAGATAAAAGTTCATTTGGTGGCATTCTTATTGCATAGCATTGGCTATTTGAATTCATTTAGTGTTTGCATTCGGCTAGTGTTTGCATATATTTGAGTGACCATTGCGCAGATGCGAGAACTTGTGTCATGGCAAACTTTTGCTTTAATTAAAGTTTGTTCAGTCTTTTTTCCCTTACATCATCTCTCAGTTTTCTTCGATTTCGTTTTTGTTTGTCAATTGCAGCTTCGCTCCTGGTTATAAATTGAACTGTGTAATAATAAAATAATCATTCGTTGTTCAGTAATACCAAATAATGAAGTTAGACTCTTCTAAAAGGTAAATTGTTTCACTATAAAATCAGCTAAAATAATTGTTGAAAAAGAATTTGATCTTTTCGATTTCTTTTCAACTCGATTTGTTTTTCATCAAATTTGTCTCCAAATTTTGATAAATAGCTTCAAAAGCAAGAAAATGAGCTTAGTGAGAAATTAAAGATCAAAAGCTTAGCAGTAATTGTACTCCTCCTGTAACATTTTTAAACACTTCGTTTGATCAAGAAGCACGGTTCTAAGGAAGTTCTCAAATAAATTTTTAGGTTATGTGCCAAAAAATGTTTTTTCTGGCAAAACTGCTAAGCATCCTTTTTTAGTACCAAAAGCTTGCTGACTTACATTTTAGTCCAATTGCTGACAAGGATAGCCAGTTCTTGTGCAAACTGCGGAAAATGTTGCATTGTCACTGATTAAAAAACGAAGCCTTGAACAAAGAAAAATTGAAAATACGAAGAGAATTGTACGAATGAGCGGTAATTAAATGTAAAATCTGTAGTAGAAACAAAGTTGGAGATCATGAGTTTTCATCTTATTTAGAATCAATCGAACAAATGCCCTTTCTCTCGAAATTGAGAGAACTTTTTTGAATCCGAAGCACGGCTTTTAAAGCCATTTGAATCCGATTCAAAAGGCTTCGAAAATGTACCACAATTAGATCACATTCGCATTTTTTTCAAGGTCATCGGTTGGAAAAAAATCCCATACGCAAATATTGCTTCGGACCCCTCAGAACAAAAAATTGTAATGCCGTTGCAAATATCAAGTGTTAGACATCTACAGATGCAGTTTCTGCAAATCAACGCGTCGAAGTTTTTTTTTTTAGTCATATCACAAGCTTTGTCATTCATATCTTAGTCAGATTAGCTGTTTTTTAAAGCTTCGTTTCACGTCTACATGTCATTGATTATAATATATGGTTTCTGGCTTGAATAATGCAGACAATACACCTGTGTTCAGTAGAAACGTATTGATTTTCTATTTGTTCCGACCATTTGAAAAGTGGGGAGGAGTTTCGTTTTCGGATTCGGGTTTGTTTTGGTTCTGTTGTTCACGCAAAATCAGATGCCACAAATGATCATCGAACTGGATTGATTGATAAATCATTTTGAAGCTAAGCACTTTTAGTCGTGATTCGAAATTTAGTCAAACCCTTAAGTCGAAATTTCCAAAAAAAAAATTCCAGTGTCGAGAAAAACCGGTTTGGCGAGCAGGCTAATTTATGCAGTGGAAATTAAAATAGCTTGTGTATGCTTAATTTAAGCGGTTAAAACTGTTTCAATAGAATAAAATTAGCTTTTGCAGCTTTTCAAGCGCAATTCTGGCAATCAATAATTTAAAAAAATTAATAAATTTAGCAAAAAAAAATGAAAAATGAAAATTATTAAATTTTGATTTTATCTGGTTTATATAGAAAGTTTTTGCTCGTGGGGGTAAAACAAAATAGTTCGTTAGATCAGGAACGTCTAGAGCAGTGGGAATGTTCAGGGCTTTGCCTTGGTATGAACTGCCTTGTTGCGCTTAATTTTGAAAAATCAATGATGGAAACCTGATTGTCTTTAAATGATGTGATGATTGTTAATGTTCATAGTCGGAATTGTCGCAAAGTTGGACAAAGTTTTTAGTTCAAGTTGATCCCTTCAGAATTAAATGTGTACATCTTGTGAACTTTATAATCAGGTGAAAACATGTGTTCGATTCTGTTTGGAAGCGTTTACAAGGGGGCGTTCAAGTGCTTTAATTTTAATTGGGGCCTTTCACCACAAAATCAATCAATTAGTGCGAGCGAAGTTGAGAACCCGATCAGCTAGGGGTAGAGTTGGAAGGGGAAAATGAGGCAGATTCGCCCAGGAGGGGCCGGTGGGCTGAAAAGTCAGTTGGGCTGCTGCTTTCATTCTGGGCTAAATCGAAGAAACAGTAAAAAGTGGAAATTGAGCTTATTTGGCGGGAAGTATTCGCTGCGGTAACTCGCTGATTAACAATCCGCATTCTTAATTTCCCAATCTCTTTTTCCAACTTTTCCCTAATATCCAATCTCATTCCAAATTAACTGGCTGCCGTTCAACTACCCTAACTTCCATTTAGCCTACTTTTTTCAGGTCTACCTCTTTTTGTTCCAGTTTAGGTGAAAATTATGAAATTGACCAGGGACGTTTAGCCTGAAGTTGATTTTTGTATAGTTCCAAAAATTATTTTCGGGTTAATGGGTTCCATTTGGAAACAAAGAACCAGCTAGGGTTAATGTCTGATCCTTAATATATCCGTAGGCTGGCCAGTTAAACCAGTACTTTTAAAGGTACAGTAAGTTAAAGTCTCTTTTATTTTTAGTTCCCCTTAATTGTAAAGAAAATACTTGTACAGTTAGATTCGTTTTGAGTTAATTGCCTCAATTTGATGGAAAAATTCGCAATACTACTAAATTTCGTTAATTGTTACTTAAGTGTAGAGTTCTTTAACTTCTCATGTGAAATGATTTCCCCTTTTTGGCCAATGCGAGGATAATTCGAGCTGAAAATTAGAGGGGCATCAGTTTAAGTTTTCAACAATGAAGTTGTCACTTTTCATTAAGTAGCCAAATCAGATAGGAGATTCGGAAAATCTTAGGATAATTGTATGATCATTAATTTAAACATTTTGTTTAATTTGCATTTTCCTAGAAGTTGTAACTGGTTAAATTTTTTGATTAAGTGTGTGAAATCACTTATGAAATTTTTTTTATTTCTCACAATATTAAAAAGCACTCAATTGCAATTTGATATTTACTAAATTTCCAATTAAGTGTTTGCGGAAAGTTTGTTTTTTGGTTTGGACG